GATTTTTTTTTTTTTGTCTTTGATTCATTAACCCATCTCCCTCAACTTTCACAGTAAAGGCAACCCAACTACATTTCCCATCATTCTGTAGCACATAAAAATAATAAAATGGTCGGAAGTTTGGAATAATTAATATTTTTTAAATGTTTTTGAAAGAAGTCTCTACTCACTAAGTCTGCATATATTTGATCAAAAATACAGTAAATACAGAATAATGCAAAATATTATTACAACATGAACTTTTTATTTTAATATATTTAAAAAATTATTTTATATTTGTGATGGCAAAGCTGAATTTTCAGCAGCCTTTAGTGTCTGATGATCTTTCAGAAATCTTTCTAATATGCTGATTTGCTGCTCAAGAAACATTCTCTTATTATTATCAATATTGAAAACAGTTTTTGCAGCTTAATATTTTTTTTGTGGAAACTATTATGTTTGGGGTTATGTAAGCTTTTTTTAATAAGAAGTTAATACATTTATTTAGCAGGGATACATAAAATTGATCAAAATTGACAGAAAAGACATTCATAATGTTACAAAAGATTTTACTTAAAAATGACATGTTCTAAAAAATGAAAAATTCAGGATTCTTTCATCAAAGAATCCTGAATTTTTTTTAATCTCCGTTTCCGCAAAAATATTAAATATTAGCAAAAACAGTTTATAATATTGATAATATTGAATTTTTATTAATAAATGAACTATTATTAATAATTAAACACCAATAATAATTAATAATAATAATAATAATAACTGAGCTCCAAAAAAGCATATTAGAATGATTTCTGAAAGTTATTGTAAATTGTTATATTTTACAATATTACTGTTTTACTGTATTGTTGATCAAATCAATGATCTTCTTTCAAAAACATAAAAAATATATATTATTACAGACTTTTGACTGGTAGTGTATATAAACATCTTTTTGTTTTTACTTGTCATAATTTATGTATAGAAGTCTTAAAGGTACTGTTGCAAAAACAGCCTGTTTAATTCTAAAGGTCAGAGAATAGTGGAAAATGGTCATTTTTTGATGCAAGAAACCTTGACTAATGTTATAAATGGACTTCAGGGAAAAGAAACAGAAGTGTAGAACATGTCCTCTATAAAACTCTTTCCCAGTCCAGACATTAGATCTGCCCTAGAAACACATTTCCCCTCACGACCTCGACTAACAGCCTGACGTCTCCTGTACGAGTTAGAGACTCCACACAAACAGACCCGCAGGTTTTGGGATCCAGGTGTTTTAGGAATTTGGCCTTCCTCCCTCCCACTTCCCCGTGCCTAATATCTCTTCCCTGTTGGCACAGGTGGAGCAGATGGCATCACAGCCACCAACACGGTTTCAGGGCTGATGGGACTCAAGGCAGACGGTTCTCCCTGGCCTGGCATCGGCAGAGGAAGGCGCACCACATATGGTGGAGTGTCTGGTGAGTGTCACCCACCTCACTGGATCCATTTCTTTCTCCTCTTGAGGTTTAACGGGTGTGTGGCACAGACAGACTATGCGTGCACATAGTCT